CTTTAGCTTCACCCTCATCCTTAGACATCAATGGCCACTGAATGGCTGGCAACAATGGCCTCCCCACTTCTGAGGCTTCCTGCTTTCCTTATTGCCATGGGGTGTCCCTACCTGTTGGTGGTGGGGCATCTGCACAGCTGGCTGGAGGCATTAAGCATGGAGCCCAACTTTCCTTGCTTGGGGTTGGCCTGCTGAGGGCTTTACCCACTCTGCTTCCACTTTCTGGCTCCTTCTTCAGCCTCCTTACTGGATCTTCGATTTTTTGTGGACCAGCCCAATCCTAGTGGCTGAGGACTGTCCTGAGATGCTGTGAAACCCTAGAAAGAGAGGCAGATGGACCCAGTACCACTCAGCACACAGTTTATTGGGAGAGCCGTTGGAAGTGAGGGCCTGTAAGCACTCCAGCAAGACCAGTTGGATCCCTTTGCTTTAGGTCAGCCTGGAGGTGCTGTGTCCAGCAAGGGCTGGGCCATACCTCATTGCTGCTGCATAGGTGTGGCGGGTTCCTGGTGACTTTGGGCATGCAAGTGGTACACATGAGTCTGGAATTTCCCTGCATAAGCCAAGAAGTGGCTACTGGCCAAACCCTTTCTGGCTTTGTGTCCTAACCTCTCTGCCCATCTCATGGGACTGACCTCACTTGGATAGCTCTGTCCTCAGTGTACTTGACTTTCTTTAAAATTTTTTGTTCATTTTATGTATGTTTTGCTTGTGTGTATGTCTGTGTACTCGCATGTGCGAGAAGAAAGTAGATCCCCTGCCTGGAACTGGAGTTGTAGATGGTTGTAAGCTGTGTGGGTGCTAGGGATCAAACCTGAGTCCTCTAGAAGAGCAATCAGTGCTCTTAGCCACTGAGTATTCTCTCCAGACCTTTGTATTTGACTTTCAAATGCAAAGTGTGTGTAGCTTGAATCTCAGGCAGCCCTGTGACACCATAGTCCAGTCCAGTGTCCTGCCAGACTTTATCCCATCAGCTTGTATGATGTCATCTCCAGACTACTTTCCCTGTGCCTGGCCAGTGGGCGTTTGATGCCTCCAGGGTATCTTGGGACCCTAGAAACTGCAGCTTCAGCTCCAATCTTAACACTCCAGAGCGAGTCAGGGGACAGGAGAAGGAAGTGGGGAGTGTGAGTGAGAGGTGGGACTTCCATTTTCATGGGAAAGATTGGGTCAGGTGGGACAATGTCAGGGCCTCGGGAGCAAGGGCTATCCCCGACTGGTTGGCTCCTGCCCTGGGGGTTGAGGGAAGAGGTGGTCACAGAAGGATAAAAACCCTATAAAGGAGGGGTGTGGGCTCTGCATCCAGGCCTGTACTTGGAACCCTGAACCTGCACATTCTGCTCTGGGAGGAGCGTCTTTCCGCACTGGAGAGGCCACAGACACAGGGAAGCATGAAAACAGAGCAGGACCAGAGACACAGGGACTGCTGAGGTGAAGGGAGTGGCTGGGGCAGAGGTCTTCCTGTCCTCCTTTCCCTGGGCTGGGCCCCGCATGGCATGCAGAGAGAGGCTTGCTTCTTCTCACTACCAGGTGCTCAGTCCCCTGAGCTGTGCCTCCTATTTGGTCTGCTCCATCTCTACAATCCTATGAAGATTATGTGACATCGAACCTGTCAACAAGTGATTCCTAGCCCCTAGATTCCACACCTAAGGATGTCACAAATGAACCCCGAATTTTAATACTAACTCATTGAAAGAGCCAGGCCTGGTGTGTCTTAGTGACCACACACTAAGTGGTATGGAAGCATGAAGGCAAGTGGGACCCCACTATCTCAGGCGACCTCTCTGGGGCTGGCCCTACAGGCACCAAAGGGACTGGAGACTAGAATCCAGGATCGGAGCAGTAAGGAGCTGTGACATACGCAACCCTGGAGACAACAGGAGACAGGGGCCAGGGGAAGGCTGGAGTCTGACAGTACCTTCTGACCTCTGAGATGAAGAGAAAGGTGAGGTGTGGGCTAGCAAGGCCCTCACAGGTCTTGGGAGGAAAACTGTTTTTATTAGCGTGCAGCAGGGTAGAATGGGCAGTACAGTGTTATCTCAGGCCACTGACCATTAGGCTGCTGTCCCTGCTCAATCTATGTTTTTATTGACATAGGCTGGGTTCCTTCGTGCTCCCTGTGGGACATGGGAGGGACCAGACTTACAATGGCTCCCAAGAATGTTTGGCTGACCCAGTGGTGACATTACAGTGACATCCTTGTTTCTGAGAAATTTGTACTCCCAAGGAGCTCCTGTGTTCCAAGATCCCGAGGTGAGTAGGACATGGTGATGCTAGCCTGACTCCCTGGAAAGTTCTCCTAGAACCTGGGTCTCTCTCTCAAGGTCTGACTTTGCTTAGAGTCCCAGGGAAGGGGAACTTGGAGAACCTGACTTCAGTGTCACATTAGGTGGGGGTGGTGTTGTAGAAGGTTGGGGGTCCTTTGTGAGGCCTTTGTTGCTCTAAGAGCACAGGGGACATTTGGTCAGGATGAGGGCTGGCTGAAAAGACAGAATGGCCTCTTGGAAGAAGACTGAACAAGCAGACCTGAGCCTAGAGAACAATCTACCAATTCAGGCCATTCACAGACACACACACACACACACACACACACACACACACACACACACACACACCATAGGGATGGTAGACTGTTTCCATGGTGATCTCAGAGATTCTCAATCTTTGAGAAGAGTTCTCTAGTCATGAAGTCCAGAGAAGAATTTTGAGGTATCCCAAACCCATCTAGGAGGAAGGGTGTATTCTGAGGGCCCTTGATCTGTCTGTACTCCAGGGTGGCTAAGGGGTCTAAGTGGGTAAGAGGCATGGGCACCTAAGGTGAGCTATGACACTCCAGCCAGCCCTGGCCCAGCAAGGCAGAAAGTGTATGCACAAGTTTTCCTTTTGTTGCTGTGATAAACACCATGACCAAAAACAATTTTGGGGGGAAAAGGTTTATTCAGCTTATACTTCCAGGTCGCAGTCCATCACTGAGGGCAATTGGGGTAGGAACTCAAGCAGGAGCGAGGTAGGAAGAACAAGCTTAATGAACTGACTTGCCTGTAGGCCATGCCTAGCTAGCTTTTTTATATAACCCAGGCCTCCTTAGTTAGGGGTGGGACTGCCCTTCCTCACCTAGTAGCAATCAAGAAGATGCCCACAGGCCAACCTGATCAAAACATTTCCCTGAGACTTCTTCAGATACCTCTGGACTGTATCAAGTAGACAGCTGAAGCTGGCTCAGAGAGTAGTAGAGGGTCTGTTTCATGTTCTCCGAGTCTCGGGGGTCTTACTGTACCATGGGAGGGTCTTCCAACATCACTGACAGGGCTCTGGGCTAATGCACAGTTGAATGGACACTTGTAAGGCTGCCTAGGACTTTCCACTGGGCAGAAGTGGGTGTCCAGAGGCCAAAACTTGGACTTGTGTACAGGCTACTTCCCTTCATGCTCTCAGTTTCCCAAGCTGAGGAACTGAAGTTGAGGAATTCTGTTCTGGAGGTGGACAGACAGTCATGCTGGTTCCTCCAGTGTGGAGGAGGGCAGGCCCTCACAGGCTGTGGAAGGGAACTCCTCTGGAAGAGGAGGACCAGCACCACCCCCAAGCTCCTAGCCTCCTGGGATCCCTGCATTTAGACTTGCCAGAGAATCTGAGGTGAAGGCATCATGCCACAGGATGCATCCCAGCACATCCTGAGTGGGGTGGGGAGGGGCAGTTGTCAATTCCAGGATGCCAGGCAGGGTTCTGCTGTCCTTGTCCAGACTTGGGTACACGTTTAGTCATGACAGAGACCAAATGTCCCTCCATCTGTGGGCCTGGACCAAGTCAGAATTACACCCACACAGATGTCATAGGAAGCCAGCACGTCTTGGATGTGGGCCTGGAGTGTTGATGATATACTAAAATCCTCTTGGGACTTGCTGGACACAACTCCACTGTGTATATGTAAATCAACTGACTGTAAGGGTAGAGTTAGTGCAATGACACCTGGGTGGTGGTAAACCACTTGTGCCTGGGTTGATAGGCACATTTCTGTGCCCCCGGCCAGGGCCAGGCAGGAGCTCAGCCACCTGCTGTGGGGTGCAGCCAGACTGCTCCTCAGAAGAACCTCCAGATAGATCCTGTCCAGGATGGGGGGGGGCTGTCCGGATACTGAAGCTCTGGGCTCTGTCCTGCCAGGTAGAGGTGCTTTGGGTGTGGGCAGAGCTGAGAGGGGCCTTGCTGCCCAAGCAGAGAACCTTGCTTTGAGATTGAGACCCAGGAGCCACCAGCTTTTCTGAAGTGTTGGGTGAGGTTTGCATCGGCCACTGCTCTCTTCTACATCCCCCTCTGTGCTTTGTTTTCTGAGACAGATCCCGTATATCTTAAGCTGACCTTGACACTGTTTTCAGTGTGCATGCATGTGCGTGCATGCGTGCATGAGTGTGTGTGTGTGTGTATCACATGCATGTTTTGACTGCAGAAGCCAAAAGAGGGAGACAGATCCCCTGAGACTAGAGTTACAGGTGTAGCCTATGCAGGACTTGGTTTTAAACCCCCCCTGCCACAGCTTGACAGGTTGCTGTGCCAGCTCTGCTCTTGGTCCCAGACAGAGGCCAAGCAGGCTTTGCTCTCTGGCTGTGGTATGGGGTCTGCTATAGTTCAACCTCTGAGGAATCCCAATCCACTTATTCCCCCATAGCTAACCAAGCATCCAATTTTTCAAGTCATTCATTCCAGGGAGGAGCATGGAGCACTGGGAAAGTCACCCCACTCTATAGCTAGGAGGGTGCTGATGGGGGGGGGGGGGACAGTTGCCTGCCACTTGTCTCATGTCCGCCCCTCTCCTTGCTGTAGCCATGGGGGAAGGGTGGCTGGGGAAATAGCTGTCACCAGGTCCTGGAGCTCTGCCTAATACGCACAATCTCAGGCCCTCTGCAGAAACATCACTCTCTGTCTGCCCTTTCCCAGCACCCTCCCAGGGGACACACTGGGTCATCAGCAAAGGTGTCCCTCCAGGGTCTTACTGCCAAAGCTCTGATCCCAGCTCTTACCAGTTCCCCTAGCCCCCATGGGCTGGAGCTGCTGTTGTGACCCACTGGCCTTAGACGGTCATGTCCACAAGCCCCCCTTGGGAAGCCTCTCTCACGGCCCCCAGCTCAGCCTCATCCCCCAGTGCCCGACGGAGCACCAGCCGGAGGGGTTCCTGCAGCCTCTGGCCAGGTGTGCTGCCTAAGAAAAAGTAGATAGCAGGCTTGGCTGAACTGTGCACACTGGCCATGAAGAAACTGAAGTGGTAGAAGTAGAGAGGGGTATGCCAGGACAGGTTCTTGGACAGCCAGAAAATGCCAAAGGGCAGGCCGCAGAAAAGGAAGAGGAGGACAGCCAGTAAGACCAGGGTGGGGAAACCCCGGGGCTGGTGCCTCTCTGGACCACGCTCCACCCGCAGCAACAGGAGCAGGCTGGTTACACACATGGTGCAGCACAAGGCAGCCAGGAGAACGGCCACCACCAGCCACAGCATCCCACACAGGTGGTAGCTGAGTGCTCCAAAGAACTGGGTGCAGGTGCCGCTCAGCAGCAGGTCCAATAGCAAGCAGAGCACCCAGATGAGTGCGCACACACAGGTGGTCAGGTATCGTGGGCGGCGGCACAGGTACCAGGCGGGGAATAGAGTGGCCAGGCACTGCTCCGTGCTGATGGCCGCCAGGAGACTCAGGCCCACAATGTAGCAGAAGAACCGAAGCATGAGCAGGCTGATGTGTACAAACTCCGGGAAGTTCACCTGGTCCGGCAGCAGCTCAGGGATGATGGCCACCATGTGGCAGCAGAGGAAGATGAGGTCAGCACAGGCCACATCCAAGAGATAGATGGAGAAGGGGTTCCGGTACACATTCTGGTTGAGCAGCCAGAGGGCCACCCCATTGCCCAGCAGCCCACCCAGACTTATGAGCTCGGTGAGGGACAGGATGGTCAGGTTGAACGCCATGTCTTCCTGGACTCTGGCAGACTGTGTGTGCACTGTCAGTGACATTGTGGGGTGCAGCGGAGGCTGCAGAAGTATGTGTTGCGTTTTCTCTCTCCGGACACCCCTGCAACCATAAGGACACCAGCTCAGGCCTGGCCCTGCCCACTCCTGAGGACTCAGGTAGGCAGGGAATAGTAGATGACAGGAATGGTGACACCCACTGAAGGAGGTGCCCATGTCCAATTTCTGTCTCATCACCCAACCTAACCCTCCTTCTCTGTCTGAGGCACGAGGTGGAAATGTTTCTGTCAATCAAGAGCTCTGTCCCAGGAGCCTGTTTCCTCTGTACTTTCCCTGGAGGGGCTGGATGGTCTGGAACACATGGAGAGGAAGAGAAGCCCAGACCTAATGGCTCCCTTTGTAGGGAGAGAAGGGGATGGAAGATTTCTCTGAGGACCTGTAGGTCCCCTTGTGTTTGTCATCGGCATAGAAAGCACTTTAGTTTTCTAGTCCTTTCTGAAGCATTCCATGCGGGTGTTGCCAATGGGCTCTGGACCCTCTAGCCATAATTTGTGGGCAAGGTAGACCCAACAACCATTCCTCTCCTTAGCCATGTGCCTACAGCCTGTGACAGTACTCCAGCCCTTTAGGGACTAGGGAGGCCCCTCCTTTTCACATGCCATTCACTTGTTTCTCTCCTTCCCTGAGGGGGAAGAGGTACCTGTTTGAAGGTGATGCTAGGCAGGGTCCTTACCTGCCTTCCTTGCCTGGGACAGTGGCTCACTGCATGCTGGAGGATGGGGCCGGAGAGGCAGCACAACCCTGACCCAGCATAGCTGGGGCTGTGACACTGAGGCAGCTAAGCTCCAGAGCTCAGCAAAACACCCACATCCTACCAGCATGATTCCCTGCCTCTTCCATCACCTGCGGTTTCCTGTCTTATCCCAGATCATCTGTCCCACCCTCCCACCTGTGGTCATCTGTCCCAGTCACTATCTCCAGCTTTTCCTTGTGTTTTGGATAAGGCAGGGCCTTGCCTCTCCCCAGAGACTGGCTGGAATCTTTTTCCTGCCTTGGTGTGTCTAGCCCTCTGGTCTCCTTTAGGGAAGGGGTACCAATCCCTGGGTGGAGATTAAGGGCTCCATTTCCATCCTAGCTCCTAAGGCATTGGGATGCTTGAGGGGCAATGGAAAGGAGTATGGGGGATGGTGCAGGGTGAGTGGAGTCTAGGTGGTGAAGCTGGATTCTCTCAAATACCATCATCTCATGGAAACCAGCTGCTGGCCCCTGAGCCCATACTCCACAGGGGAAAACCCTGTGCAAGGCTCAGGGGCTCCCTGCTCATACTGATAGGGTGAGCCAGTGTTTCCACACATAGGAAGCCTGGACAGGTTGCCATGGTCAAAGGGGTACATTTAGAGGTGAGACACCCGACGTAAGACCCTCTTAACTACTCAGTTCCACACAGCCATGCACTGAGCTCCCTCCAGGACCGCAAGGAGGCTCTGGGTCTGAAGGAGCAGGTAATTTTCTCCAGCCTTGAGGTTCTCACACTATGGCTATGCAACCTCCCTCCTCTCCTTTTCTGGGCTGCCTTCCTCACCTCTGTACCTGAAGGGTCCCCAGAGCCAGCTGGGGACAGGGCTAGGGAGGACACAGCCCTGCAGACCCCAGGGAAAGCCTGGAAAGGAGGGAAGAGGAGAGAGCACATGGCAAATGAGGTGGTAGGGAGAGGAAGGGCAGGGGGGGGGAGGACTGAGAAGGAAAGCTATAGCCATACCAGGAGAATTGTAACAACAGTAACAACTTAGAGGTGATAGGCAAGGCAAGGCTTAGCCAGGCCTGGCCAGTGTCCCTCTCCCACTGGAACCCTGTGTGTGGGATGTGTTTGGGCTCACTGGCCAGTTATAGGTGGGGGTATCTCAGGGTGGGTGGCAGGAAGAACTGATTGCATGCCCTGTGGGTGGGAAGGAGATGGAGAGGGAGGAGGACAATAGAGGAGAAATGGGGAGGTTCCCCTTGGAAACACAGAAGGTTGGCATGGGGCATAGGTGTGGCTCTGCCTTCTACAGATTGACACTGAGCACTCGCTGCCCTGGCTCTGCTCTTGCTGGGAACAATGAGGATTGAGGAACAGTGCCCGGGTGACTGTCTCCTGAATTTCTTCTACTGTCCATGGAGTATGACCCATCCTCCTCTCCCTCAATGGACACAATAGCACAGAGAGGGACAGAATGAGACAGGAGCCTCACCACAGGTGGGGGGAAGTGCTATTTAACTCAGCTGCCTTTCTGGAGTAGCCCAGGGCTGCCTGCAAGTGAGATGGCCCAGCCCAAGTCAGAGGATGGAGGACAGGCCAGCCAGTGTCATATAGTTGCCCCTCCCCCACCCGCCCAGCCGCCACCCCCCCCCAACGCCCAGAAGACACCCAGATACTGGGCTGTCACAGAGCTCCTCCTTGACCAGTGTCCCCTGGCTGCTCACCGTTCTGGTCCTCCCTGCTCCACCCTCGGTCTTGGAGGGAACTGTCCTGCCCAGACCAAGGCTCTAGCGGCTGCCAGAGCTACGGAGCTACCAAGCTGCAGGCTGGCGCTCCCACTCAGCGTCAGCTGGCTGGCTCCTCAGTGTCACATGGTGTTGGAGGGGATAGGGCCGGTCAGGAAAGAGCCTCTCTGGGGACCCTGTTCCTAAGCTGGGCTCAATTACTGCCCAGGTATGGACAGCAAGAGAAAGCGGGCTCCTCCCTCAGCCTTGCTGGCAAGCCTGGCACTCAGAGGGATTCGGGATAGCTCAGGGAAGCCTGCTAAGCATCCACATGCCTAGCAATGACCTCACAGGTTCTCCTATCTAGACTCCTAGGGGCCTTTTAGAGACCATTTCTCTCTACTAATGACAGGGGTGACCATGTGCCAGGCAGGGTCTAACAAGCTTGTTTTTAACAAGCAAAGCATGGAGGCTGCTGGCCCCGGCAACTCCAGGCATCAGGGCTGTGAGAGCCCAGGTTGTGGCAGAGGCAGAACTAGTGTATAGTCTCCAGCAGAGAGGGGACCAGAGACAGCCTCATAAGGGTGAACCTTAATAATTCAGAGCTCTCTAATTGTCTTAAAACTACAGGTCACTGATTACAGCTGGTATTCAATGAGGAAGGGCAAGTTCATGTTCTAGTTCCAGGATCTCCTAGCAATTCTCTTCCTCGCCTTAGTATTAGGGGAAATCCTTAGACTTATGGGAGAGTCTCAAGAAGAACCCAAAATTCACCAGGTATAAACAGCTCCCATGGCAATGACCCCTGTGTTCTTATCCATTGTGGAGCCAAGCTGGGAACAAGTTTCTGTGAAAGTGACCCTTCAGAAATCTGGCCTGCAAACCTGACTGGCATGGCCCTTCATGACCACAGGGTGACAGTCATATTTAGGAACTCATGGTGTCTGATGACTGCTAGATTCTGAGTCCCAGGGGCACCACCTGTTGGGATGTCTCCAGGCTCCATTCCCATGTGCTTATCTGGTGCTGGGATGTGGCACCACATCTCTGCAAGCTGCCTCTGGCTTTGATGGACAGTCCTGGGAGGCCTCACCAGCAGGGGATGCTAGAGAGGAGAAGGGTCCTACAGTTTTGTGAGTGAACATGTATGTTTGTTTGTTTGTTTGAAAGTCTCATTTAGCCCATCTTGGCCTCGAAGGTGGCCAAGAATGACCTGGAACCTCTGATCCTCCTGACTCCATCTCCCATATGCTGGAATTACAAACCAAGGTTATAGGTACATGACACCACACCTTGCCTATGTGGTTCTGGGGATGGAACCAAGGCTTTGGTCATGCTAGGCTATGCTCTGCCACTTGAGCTCCATGCCAGCCCATCTGACATTTTGGACCCTCTCTTGCTTTTGCTTCTGTCACAATCCACAATTTTCCCAACCTGGTTGTAGCAGTTGATTCCAGTTTGTGGTCTTTGTAAAACTTGAAAAACTACTCCTTATCTGACATTTGAGAGACACCAGCCACCAGCTGGCTGCCTGCCCTCCTCAAAAGTCTGAGCTGTGACGCGTGGCCTCAAGGCTTTGAAAGAATGTTAACAGTGGCAGCTCCTTTGAGTCCTCAGGCCTGGGGGTGGGGGTGGGGTTGAATGTTCTAGCAGCTGCTGCCTCCTGCACTGTCTTAGGGTTCCCTCTCCATGGTTGTGTTTAGTGACATGCAGCTCTTGCCTCCTGACTGTCCCTGCTTGTGCTGAAATTGTCCCGTGAGTTCCATTCAAACCTGCTTTTGGCTGGGTCTGGCAGCGTTGGTGGTGGTTAAGAGGAAAGCTAGCAAAGCCCAGGGTATGTGTGGCCTCAGGGCTAATTAGAGGAAACTTGTGATGGGCTGTGGATGAAACAAAAGGCATTGAGTGAGGCAGCCATGAGCACTTCAAAGACCACAGCATGGGGTGATGTCTTCTGAGGGCCTGGAACCAAGAGTGACTTTCATTCCCAGTTATAAGGGAGGAATACCAGCTGGAATCTGCTACCCCATCATAAAAACCAGAAACTCAATAGGAGTTGGGCAACCAGGCAGATAAACACAGGGCTCCCCAAGAGAATGCTTCTAGATGAGGATTGCATGCATGCCCTTTGCTCATAGTGACTGTCTGGAAGAGGTCTTCAGCTGAGGTCTGGGAGAAGGCACTACAGGGGTTCACCAGGGGAACCCCAGTAAGAAACCTCAGGAAAATGTGAAGACAGAAAGGCAACCTAAGAATCCCAGAAAATGGACCAGGCCAAAAAAAAAAAAAAAAAAAAAAAAAAAACCAAAAAACAGTAAAGTAAAAATAGCATTATTAAAAGATTGATAGATTTCTAGCCAGGCATGGTGGTGCACGCCTTTTTTAAAGTATAATTTATTTTCATTTTATGTACATTAGTGTTTGCCTGCATGTATGCCTATGTGTGGGTGTTGGGTCCCTTAGAACTGGAGTTACAGACAGTTGTGAGCTGTCATGTGGGTGCTGGGAATTGAACCCAGGTCCTCAGGAAGAGCAGTCAGTGCTCTTAACTTCAGAGACATCTTGCCAGTCCTGGTGCATACTTTTAATCC